CTACACTATTTGAATATTTGCTGAATTTGTCTGTTGATGACAGTTATCTAACCTTAACTATAAAAATAAATAAATGAAACAAGGGGTGCAGATTAAAATAATTGACTAATTTAATTTTCAAACGTCATTTTTGTGGGAAAATTATCAGTAGGACTTGGTTGTAACTTTAACATAAATAAATCTATTCCAAAAACACACAACTAAATAGATTTTAAATACTTTCGAGAATTAAGTTACAAGTTAAATTTTTGAATGAGAAAAAATATGCTTTAAAATGCTTCTCTACTTTTGACCGAACTCAACAGTCGATGCCGTACATCAAGTGTTCAAAATAACAACATCAAAAGGAAACGAAAATCAAAAATTTATCCAAGATGGCGGAGGTAGTACTCTTAAGAATCGAAACAATACTTACACGAATGAGATGTCTTAAAACAAAATTGATAAGAGTTGGAACGAATTTATATTAAAGTCATTGCTTGTTTACTATGATTACAAAAAGGTTATATTGATTGAATTTTGACTTTTTCGTGCAATTCTAATTAGTAAGGCCCGGATTTTAATGACATTTGCATTTTTTTGCATTTTTTGCATTTTTGGACATTTTTTGTCCTTCAGATTTATAGGGCATTTTTTTTAAATTTTGGGGTGTATTTTGTATTATAAAGCATTTTTTAAGGTTTTTGTTAAATTTTTCCAATTTTTATTATTTTTTGGGGTATTTTTATTACATGAAATGCATGATTTGTCCTATAATTTTACATTTCATATTGTAACTCTCAAAGAATGTTTCAAAACATTTGCTCCTAGTCAGCTTTGCCCCCTAAACCAGTAATCACACGATGGGGTACCTGGTTGAATGCATGCGTATACTACAATGAAAATTTTAAGATAGTGAAGTCTATCGTCAGTACTTTTGATTCAGAAGATGCTGCATTAATTTAGATAGCGCTAGTGTTCGCTTCAGATAAAATCGAAGGAAACTTAGCATTTATCAAGTTTAACTTTGCTATTGAGTCCTCGACAATTACAAGCCTGCAGAAACAAGAATTGGAACTTTGTGATGCAATAAATTATGTTGATGTAGCGAGTCGAGTGTTGCAACACGCAAGGGGAAAAATAGGACAAAGTGTAGCAGCTAAATTGAATAAAGCTTTGGAGAAGAGCACTGGCTTCCAAACAATGAAGAAAATCTCTAGGATACTAACAGGTGAAGTAACAAATTTTCAAATTGAAGAAGAATTGTCAGTAAGTGAGACCGTCTTTTTCAAGTACGCACCAGTAAGTAGACGTTGAAAGAAGCTTCTCCAGGTATAAAGATTTACTTTCAGACAAGAGACGCTCGTTTACATTTCAAAATATCAAAAAACATTTAATAATCCAATGTAACTCTGATATTTAGTATTATTATTAGATGTAAGTTGTTATATTCATTAAAGTTTCTGTACAAAATGAAAATGTTTTGGTGTCAATATGTTTTTCTCTTTTTTTTGTTATTTTAGGATATAACACATATTTTTAAAACTTTAATGAACGTAGAACAAGTATTACATTGCTTTATAGTTTTTGAAATGACTCATAATTTTAAAGAGTAAAACATTGTTTTAGTTCGATATTTTTACTTTAAGTCACGTCATATGGCAATTTTAGCGCAATTTTCGCATTTTTAGTGCATTTTTAAGGGCATTTTTTGCACTTTTTAAGGCCATTTTTGGCATTTTTTAAGGACATTAGTTGAGATTTTTTAGGTCATCAAAATCCGGGCTCTACTAATTCGGCATATCATGTTTATCTTAATCGCTATAAATTATTAAAGTAAAGAAAACAAAGCTGCGTTTCTAACAATTGAATTTTGACTTTTCGTGTCATTCAAATTGGCAAATCACACTATATTTGATTTATATATTTGATCATACTGCATTTCCAAATTAAAAAAAAGAATGAAAAAAAACGTAAGCTGTGTTTGTAAGATTAACTAAGCCTTCCATAAAGATAAGGTTTTCTTCAATAAGCTTTTTTGCAAACATAGAAACATCTCTAAATAAGTTAGAAATCAAATGCTTTATTATTTAAGCTTAACCTTGGGCATTGTGCCCATTCGAGAGGAAGTTTCACGACTTAGATTAAATGACAATCTAAATCGGCTAAAATAATTATGGCTTACAACAATAAAATAAATTACAAAAACTAATTAGCACTTTTCTTTAAGATGTTGGAAAGTTGTATTTTAGAGTTAGTCCTGAAAATAAAAATGGTTAAATTTTATCAACGGAAAACTTAATTGAATCTTTCATCGTGACGGGCGAGAATACTCGTCCTTCATGAATATTCGCTGCATGCTAGAGACGATATAGCTCGTCCTCTTCACAAAGTTTTTCTATATTATTGCAGAGTGTCCAAAAATTTATTTATCAATATTTTAGCGCAACCGAGTCGATAATATTTTGTTTAAATTTCAGGTCAGAGCGTCAAAGGCACGCTGTTATGACATAATTTCTAGAATCATTGACATTTTCTTTCCTTTTTTTTTTCTTTCGTTTTTTAACTATTACGGAAAAGACGATTTCACTCCCTTCACTTACCTGACAAATGATTTGTTTTATTTAGGTGATCATCTCCGCGACCTTTTATCGCATTTTGTTTGTTTCTTCTTCCTTTCTTTTCATCAAATTATGGATGGAAAAGATCTCCATTTCAAGTTTTGAGTATCGTCATTGCATTATTACTGAAAAATTATTTCAGACCCACTTGTATAGAGATATTTTTGATATTTTTCTACCATTTGGTAATCAAATATATTATTATAAGAATAAATTCATAATCTGGTTCTATATATATATATATATATATATGTTACTGTGAAAGACCGAAAT